GTGTTGTGTCCATGATATTCTGAACATTCTGCGATAGAGCCGCATTTCAAAAGCTTCTAGGCGTCTTATGGTATTTAATTTTAGACTCCACACTTCAACTCCATATAGAAGGACAGACCAAACTAGCATTTAATAAATCTGAGTCGAATGTCTAAGCCCAGTTCACGATTACAAATAACATGCTTCCATTTGTTGTACATGTTCCTGTCCTGTTCTATTCGTATTTTTATTTCTACATCCTAAGTATCTGAACTTGTGGACTTGTTCTAGTTGGGTGTTATTTAGATATATGTGACAGTTTTTATCCGTTTTGTTAATTGCCATTACTTTAGTTTTTTGAACATTTATCGTCAGTCCCATTGCCTCACCAGCATTATTAACTCTATCCAATATGTTTTGCAAATCTTCTACAGTTTCTGCAATTAGTACGGTATCGTCTGCATATCTAATGTTGTTAATCTATTTATCGTTTATTTTTACATCAATTTCGACATCGTCTAGTGCTTCTTTGAATATGCATTCAGAGTATAAGTTGAAGAGCAATGGAGACATAACGCAGCCCTGTCGGACACCACTTTGAATGTTGACGCCTTTAGTGGTATTGCCGGAATATTTTAAGATGGCCTCTTGGTTCCAATAAAGATTTTGAATTATGCGGAGGTATTTTCGGTCTAACTTTATCTTCTGCAATTCATTAAAAAAATTTCCATGTTGCACCCTATCAACAGATTTTTGATAATCAATGAAGCCTAGATATTATAGAATTTTTTCTACACAATTATCAAATGTATAATGTTCGTTTTTTTATGACCAGTGGTTTACCGTTTACACAGCTATCCTCGCTTTTAGCCACCGAAAATTAAATCTACGAATTCCTGAATATTACAAGTTTAGCTTTATACATTATATACAAGGGGTCGCGAAGCGAGACCCCCTATTAGATCGTATAGAAATAGTGACTGAGAAAAAAACGTTTATATAAAACTGTTGTGGTTGTCGCCAAAGTATTTGTTTCCGTTACTTTGAACTATACAGGGTAGCTCAAAGTAAAGTTATGACAGTCAAGTTCTCCTTCTTTTTCTTCTTCTACTTGTTCTGCTTGCCTCGGTATTGTTTCCTGAGATGTGGACTGCCAGCTGGTTCTCCATCTCTTTGGTGGTCTTCCCAGGTGGACGGGTCCCTGCTGGTTTTCTTTCTAGCACAATGCGTGGTGGTTTATCGTAGGTCATCCTCTTTACGTGGTTGTACCATTCTCTTCTCCTCAGGCTTTCCCATCTCACCACATCCTGTACGTCGCTTTGTGCTCTAATGTCTATGTTTCTCACACGATCTCTTCACAGTCAAGTTAATTTGTTTAAATGGAACAGCCTACTTGTTAATCCAGATTGAGGTTCTACATTGAATTCAAATAATTTTTTGTATAACATACTATGCGATTAAATTCAATAATTTTGGACATAGCGGCGTTTAAAACATGGGATCGCAACAAAAGTAAACTGTATTATTATTTTTGACGTGATAACTTTTTATGGGACGGTGAACCGATTTTTCTCGGTAATGGCGAGCCGTAACTGCGGCTCCCACTCTGGCTTCTTCGCGCCTGAGRCTTGGGACGCACATATGCACTTTGAATCCGACATTTTTTTCTTAGTGCGGGTGCATCTGTAGATCTGATAAACTTTTCAAATACASATTSCGTTATTAAACTGACTGTGATTTTGATATATCAATTACTGAGTGTGATATTGTTGCTGCAGATACTGCAAATACTAAGTAAGGGTGCTCGTGTACTATATGCATGCTCGAGTTTCGCGTTCTCTTTAATTTCCAATTAAAGTACATACACAATTATACACAATAAAGCAGTTTAAGTGCAAGAAAATGCGGATTGTCCATAAATTTACAGAATAATGTATTACAAACTTTTTAAAATCATGTTCAAACGACCGGGTATTTATCATTGCAAGTAAGATTGCCCATTGCCGTGTACCGACGATTCGACACACAAAATTGTGCCTAAGATCTACTACAATAAAATTTTTGAAAAACTGTTGGACCTATTTTAAATMGCCTGATTGATTGYSGACSCAAATTCGTATCAAGAAAAGATTAAATTAAATTAAATCGTATCGATAGAATCCCGGTACCGATTCCCTATGTCATACTCTCCGTCTGTAGTCCAGATGCTGCCCTGATGATGTCCATTTGCATTGTATTGCACGATTCGGTAAAATATTACTTACCTACTTGTTTAGTGATTTTCATCGAAGACAATTCTTAAACCAGATGTTGAGCGGATATTTTTTAAAGAAGCCAGGGTGAATTTATGAAAAACGCTCGTGCGAGTAAAGTGTCACAACTATTACTAATACCTTTTAATGCAATAATATGTTCTATTTTTTGTTATATTGTGAACAACAAATAATCAATATTTAGATATATGTTTTGTAATATTTCATATTTAACATAAAATGATAAACATCATTACTGTTTTGCAATAAATATATAAAAAATATGTTTTGAACTTAATTAAAAAAATATTTGAGTTTACTGCGATTATTTCAGAAAACATGGGTTCCGTCTTATTTTCTATTACGCAACGCATTCTTGATTTTAAGACGATACGAATC